CCTTATATCTTATTTGGCTGTCATACAGTTCTTTTTTAGTTTACTATCGATTATATATATTTAAAGAATATCTAAAGCTTACCTCCATGGCTGAGCACTTCAGTTATGAATCTATTTTTTTTAATTCATTCTCGATTGTTCTTTTTCCATCATTTGCAATGGAGCCAAAGATTCATTATTTTTGGGTTGAGAATATGATGGAATAAAGCAAAATGGCTCACTAAACTGTCTGCGCTTCTTTGTTATGAAGCAGCAGTCAGTCCATGCATTTTTGGTCGCGATTTTCACTATGGGACATCAGGAAACAGTCTCTCTGTGCTTTAGTACAGGGATAAGACTGCGTACATCCGACCCCCGTTACCCCACCGTAGGTGGGAGCCTGTGCGGCACTGGGGTAAATGAAAATGATGATAATGATGATGATTCTTGATTGTTGTTATGAATCTAAAATTTAGTATAAATGGTTTTCAATGTTATTTGTTCTATTGTTCTAAATCTAACATTTATTAAAATAGTTTTGAATGTACCATCCATCCATCTATCTAAAGCAATTCTAGCTTTAAGATGTTAATATATGTTATCGCCCCATAAAAAACCTCAATCTAATTTTATAAACAATGATTTCTAGAGATGAAGAGATGAGCAGTGATGAGGATCCATCAACTCCACCAAGGCAGCGGCCTGCTAGGAATCGAAGAGCACCAAATAGGTATTCACACTACAAAAAAACACGCGTTTAGTCACGGATTTGGTCCGTGACTAGCCTAGTCACGGAAATTTAAAAAAAAAATTAGTCACGGATTTCACCGTGACTACGACCGTGTCTACATTTAGTCACGGATTTCGTCCGTGACTAACATCCTCCGATTGGCCCGATTGATTTTCCGGCCTGGACTGTTTTATTCCGGCGATTTAGTCACGGCCACATCCGTGACTAAAGCCGTGACTAAATTTAAAAATTAATTTTGCAGTTCCCATAAATGAATCCGCAACGGTATTATGTACGGATAAAAGTAGTCACAGCCATATCCGTGACTATGTCCGTAACTACTTTCATTAACACGTCATTTACACGTCATTAACACGGATCGGACGCGTAATGGACACGGTTTTGCTTAGTGACGGACAAATCCGTGACTAAGTCCGTGACTAAATTTTTTATATATGCAGGAGCAGCTCATTCATTCAACAGAACCACACCAATTCATTCCCAGTATATACAGTATCTATTTGAAAGATCGAAGGATGTAGTCTGTCTTCTATCATTTTCCCCATTTATGCGGTTAAGGTATGTTATTTGAATTATTATTTTTATTTAGAATTAGTTGGTTCAATTTAAATTATTAAAACTATTAAATTAGTGAGGTTGTTAATTAATTAACAACATATTCAACTGTAAGCGTAGTAATGTCATAAAATTAGTTAAACTGTTAGGTTTATAAAATAATTTAATTAAAATTAGTTAGCTAAACGTAGTTTTAAACGTAATGATCTTTATGTTAAGTGAAATTAGTTAGCTAAACGTAGTTTTAAACGTAATGATCTTTATGTTATTGTAATTGTGTATTATTTATTAATTCAAATGTCCTTATATACATGTTCAAATTATTGGGTTTAATTTGGTCATATTATTTAATTTAGTGAATTGTTAATTGTGTAGTACTAATAAGATTAAATGTCATTAACGTAATAATTTAGTGTAGGTTTAAATGTAGGTTTACAAAAATAATTTAATTAAAATTCGTTAGCTAAACGTAGGTTTAAACGTAGCTAGTGATGTGTTAATTATGTTATATTAGTTAGCTAAACGTAGATTTAAACGTAGTGATGCATTAAAAGGGGACGGAATGAACTAGTTAAATTTAGTTAAATTTAACTAAATGAATTAGTTAAATTTAGTTAAACGTATGTTTAATTTAAATGTAGTGTTAATAAATTACTTAAATTTTTTGTAATATTAGTTAAATTTAAGTATTAGGTAATTACTTATATTTTGTGAATTATTGTTGTGAATTGTGTGCATTTCATTTAATTTAGTGAAAATTAGTTAGTTGATTATTTAGTGAAATAAATTACTTAAAATTAGTTAGTATTATTGTTACATTAATAACCTTCGTTTTGAACGTGTATACTTTTTTATTATAATATTCAGGCATAATGTATAAACAAAATAGAAGTTGGATGTATGATAAAGATGCGGTATTGTACGGAATGCAATCAAATTTTCTCGAGGGAGTTGGGGAATTTATTGAATTTGCACTTGAACATCCGGCTTATATGAGTGGTGATAAAATAAGATGTCCATGTTCAAAGTGTAAAAATCTCAATTTTAAAGACCCACACGAAGTTGGGTATGATTTGTACGCGGTTGGTTTTGTTCCCAACTATTATAATTGGACTTCTCACGGCGAACCTTTGGATCCATCTGTTATACCACAAACGGTAGGTTCGTCTCGTTACGTCCCTCCAGAGATGAGTGCGTGGGGAGACCGTGCTGAAATGAGGTGGGACCAACAAATGGTATATGACGCATACGGTGTACCGTCTCAGTTCAACCCCCCACAACCACCTAACGACCCCCCTGAAGCCTCAACCTCGTATCAACCAGATGCGGATGAAAATCCGACATTTTATCAACCTTATGTGGATGAAGGTTTGGCTGAGAGATTTCAGGATGTTCTAAAAGCTGCCGACCAACCTCTGTATGCTGATTGTGAGGGATACTCTCAGCTATCCGCCGTTACTGAGTTCATGAACATAAAAGCCGAATACAGTCTCCCTGAAACTTGCATGAATAGAGTCTTGCAGTCAGTAGGAGGGATGCTACCGCGAGATCATACCCTTCCGGATTCATATTACCACATGAAGCAGTTAATGTCTAAGTTGGGGCTACCTTGTGTTGAAATTGATGCGTGCCCGGAAGGATGTATGTTGTTCTGGAAGGAGGATGAGGCACTTGAGTTCTGCAAGTTCTGTGGTGGAGACAGATACAAACCTGTTCGTCAAGGTAAAAAGAAACCATGACATAGGTCTGCACTGTCTAAACTGTATTACCTCCCAATAGCTCCTCGACTGCAGAGGATGTACGCTTCGACTGCTACTGCGAAACTCATGACATGGCATGTTGAGCACGAAACCAACGAGGGTATGATGGCTCACCCTTCGGACTGTGAAGCCTGGAGACACTTTGACCGTTGCCATCCTCAGTTTGCTATGGAGCCACGAAATGTGCGGCTGGGATTGTGCTCAGATGGATTTGCTCCTTTTGGCAGGTTTGGGAAGAACTATTCATGTTGGCCGGTCATGTTAACTCCTTACAATCTCCCTCCCGACATGTGCATGAAAAGTCATTTCATATTTTTGTCTTTAATTTGTCCGGGTTCCAAGGATCCTGGGCGAAAGATAGACATTTATCTCCAACCCCTTATCGAGGAGATGAAAGAACTGTGGGCCGTTGGGACACCAACTTATGATGTTTCATCAGATAAAATGTTTATCATGAAAGCTGCCATCATTTGGACCATTAACGACTTCCCTGCCTATGGCATGCTTTCGGGATGGAGCACACACAGTTTGATGGGATGTCCGATATGCATGGAGAAATCAGGTGCCAACTGGCTTAGTTACAGCAAAAAAGGAAGTTACTTTGATTGTCACCGCAAGTTTCTCCCGGAAAGGCACCGATATCGAAAGGACAAGAAGTCTTTCATTAGAGGCAGAGCGGTACGAAAGAGCCCACCCCCGAGATTGACCGGTGAAGAAATTTATAACCGGGTTCGACGTTTTCCTACGGCTATGGAAGAGCCAAACCAAGAGCCATATGGGTATTGTGATACCCATAAGTGGACAAAGAGGAGCATATTCTGGGAGTTGCCTTATTGGAAAGACCTTCTCATCCGTCACAATTTAGATGTCATGCACACTGAGAAGAACTTCTTTGACAATATATTTAACACGGTGATGGATTTGAAAGGCAAAACTAAAGACGGTCTTGCAGCTAGGAAAGATATGACTATTTGGTGTGATAGACCCGAACTTTCTGTTGATCTAGAATATCAGGGCAAGGAAGTTCCAAAAGCAGTCTACCAGGTCACAGAACCACAAAAGGCAGCAATATTACAATGGCTTGCGTCTCACAAGTTTCCAGATGGCTACTGCTCCAACTTGTCTAGATGCGTAGACATGAACAAACTTACCACGACGACGAGCATGAAAACTCACGATGCTCATGTAATAATGCAAAGACTTCTACCAATTGCACTAAAAGAGATGCTTCCTGAACACGTATGGTCCAGCATTACTGAAATCAGTTTGTTGTTTCAATCGATATGTTCCAGCGTTTTGGATGCGGCATCCCTCCGGAGACTACAAGAGTCTGTTCCCATTCTGATGTGTAATCTAGAAAAAATAATGCCTCCATCGTTTTTCGATACAATGGAACATCTTATAATACATCTTCCGTATGAGGCTTTGACTGCTGGGCCCGTCTTCTATCGCTGGATGTACAGATTTGAAAGGTTAGTAACAATTTCATTTAAAAAAAGAATATTTATTTCACAATAACTGTTAACATGTGTACCGTTGTTATATTGCATTATTGCAGATTTCTAGGAGAGCTGAAAAAGAAAGTGACCAACAAGGCACACGTTGAGGCTTCAATTTGTCAAGCGTATCTTCAACAAGAAATCTCAACGTTCTCGTCTTTTTACTTCGAGTATGACGTCATCACCAGAAGGAAGAGACCTGCCCGGAACGATGACATTGGCGAGGATTTATATGAAAATGTAGTTTCCATCTTCAATTACCCAGACAGAGGTAAAGGTGCTGCGACATAACGATACATCGTGGGTGGGGAATTGCAAATTGCACATACTTATATCCTCATGAATTGTCCATAAATCTCACCGTTTTATCAGTAAGTTAAATTTGTAGTTATAATTGTAATACTTATCAATTAAATTTGTAGTTAATTTATAATTTTTTTATTTTTGAATTCACAGTGAATTCAGAGCTTCTTTATCAGCCTTTCCTGAGAATCAAATTGATGCATTGGTAGACTCTGATTTTGTAAATTGGTACAAGTATCAGGTATATATATACACACACATTAATTATATATATATTATTAAGTAAGATTTTTCAATATTTACCTAATGTTATTGTCATGTTTATATTTACAGATCAATAGTCGTGGGATTGTCGACCCTTTGTTAGTATCATTAGCGTGGGGCCCTAGTGCCAGTGCCATAGTGTGGCGGCAATATGTGATAAACGGTTACACATATCACACAGCCGATTACGGAGAGGGCCGACCAACAACGAACAGCGGGTTATGTGTCCCGACCATCGGTTATGATAACTCGGAAACCAATTTTTTTGGTGTCCTGCAGGAGATTCTGGAACTTGAGATGCCTTCTGGTGCGAAAAAATTGACATGCGTTCTGTTCCGTTGCACATGGGTCGACCCCACACGTGGCGTACGCAAAAATCCGAAGTATAATATGATTGACGTCAACCACTCTCGTGTGTACCCGAAAAATGAGCCTTTCATACTCGCCCAACAAGCAGCGCAGATTTATTATGCAGAATATCCTTCAACAAGGCGGACACAGAATCCTTGGGTGTGTGCATGTCCTGTCCGTCCGAACAAAATAAAATCACAAACTCAACACAAGGACTTTGATCTAGATGCTTTTCAGCAACAATTTTTCCAACCTCCGCCTATTGTTGAGACGGTCAACTATGACATCCAATTAAGTGATCCAAATGGCGGACGTGTTGAAGTCATGCCAGAAACGCACCTTCCGGACCCAACCATTCCATCTGAGCGCGAAATTGAGGAAATGTATGTAGCACAACAAAACGCTCAATATCAGGAAGAAGGTGAATGGATAGAAGGTTCAGATACAGAAGAAGATACTGTATATGTAGAAAATGACGATTCTGATAGCGAATAATTGTGCTGTTGTAATTTCAATTTTATTGACTTCTAATATTTGTGCAGATTTCTTCATCATTATATTACTCCAACAATATTTGAATTTTTTTCTATCTTTATCATTATTATTTATGAACAAAAAATTACTCCATATTAATTCAACCACAACAAGTTTTTTATATCCATATTATAAATTCAAAATAAAATTTTTCACAATTCGAAGTTTGAAAATTAAAATTTACCCAATACAAAATATGAAATTACTCTATATTATATCCATGTAATTTCAAATTCGAAAATTCAAATATTATTTTTGATTTTTCTAAATTCGAAAATTTATTTTAATAATTTTTAATAATTCGAAATTCGAAAATTAATTTTAATAATTCTAAGTCTATTCGAAAATTAACAAAATTCGAAAATTAAAAAAAAAGTAATTTACTTTTACTAATCTGAATATTATAATAAATTTAGATATTAATAAACAACTAACAGAGATTTAATTATCAAATTTCAAAGATAAATACAAAACACACAATGAAATTGTCACATATTATTTATCAAACAACTAACATAGATTTATTTATCACATTAACCTAACTAACATTATTCATTCCTCAATCGGAAACTTTCAAGAGGCCTAGCCCACAACTCCTGAATTTTCATTCGAGCTTCTTCCTTGATCGGGTCCATATACTCTGAAACTTCTTGTGCACGTTGAAGCATCCGACACAAATTTCTTGCTTTTGACTTGCCCAACGAGTCGGATTCTTCATCTTTATAATCGCCAAAACTTTCAAGGGGTCTAGACATCAACTCCTTGATTCTCTCGTATGCTTCCACGGTTTTCGGCTCCATAAGCTGTGTAATCAGCTTAAGTCGTTTCATACCTCTACACATCGAATCCCAGTCAATTGGACCTCTATTATCCATTTTTTTACAGTCCAGTCTTGGGCCGGAGAAAGATGATTTATACTAAAAATTTCAAGTTGTCACGGTCTTAGTCACGGATAAAGTCGTGACTAACCTGTCAGTCTGCCAGCCGAAGAGGTGTCAGGGCCGCCGGTCTAGTCACGGTTTTACCCGTGACTAGAACCGTGACTAAATTCAAAATTTGAATTAGACACGGTCTTAGTCACGGATAAATCCGTGACTAAACCGATCAAAGGCGGCTGATGCCGCGTGGCTGATTTCGTTGATTACGAAGGGTTTAGTCACGGATTTATCCGTGACTACGTCCGTGACTACACCGATATATAAAATCAACACTTAGCGAATTTTTTCATTCCACACGCCTCCAACCCTAATACTCTCTCTTCACCTCCCTACTCTCTCGTCGACTCTTCCACGGACCACCGCCGCCACCGTCCAGAGTCCAGCGCCGCCGCTGTCCTCCGTGCACTGCCGTTGTCCGCCGCCGTCCGCTGCCGTCGTCCACCACTCCTCTTTTTTCGCACCTCTCTCTCCACATCAAGGTTATGTTTTCTCAATTAATTTTTTACTCACAAATGCATGTTTATGTACTCAAATGCATGTTTATATGCTCCTATGCATTATTGAACATTGAATGCCCTAATGATTTATTCTACAAGTACATATTTATGTGTATATACATTTAATATGATTATATGTGTACTAGTTTAAGAACGCGCGTTGCGCGTGCGTGGTAATGCCCAACACCATTGTAGGGGAAATAATATATTGATAAATGTTCAGTGAAAATATGAGTGTAATTCAAATAGAACAATTGAATACATAGTTTGTTATTTATCGATAAAGAAGCATAAATAATAACGCATATATAGGCTAGAATATATGTTCGTAGGTAAAATAGCCAAGATGACTGTAAGAACCATAATATGATTAAGGTTCGCATGAAATAACAACAACAAAAAAAATGTTTTGCTGGGAGAAATAGGCCAAATGTGATCGGGTTCTAGCGCTTTAAGAAAATTAAAGTAAATGTTCCAGGAAAATAGTTGGAGTGATTGAAGGCGTGGAAAACAATGAGAAACAATTAAGCTTTTCTCTTTCGCTTCAGATCAATAGGCGAGTCATCTTCACCCGAGCGCGGGAGCTTCATCTTTGATGAAGGCGGGGTTGATGGATTGGCGTTGGTTGCAACAATGTAATGTGATGCATCATGTAAGGATGTTACGGTATAGGAGGGTCCTGGCTTGGTTTGATAGCTACTTGTTTGTGACCGCAACTGCACTATATAGTCTTCTTTATCCAAACGCTTATTTGCGTATTGAAATGATGCCTTCTTTCCCTTCATAATTTATAAAGATGAGTCAACATGTTGGGCAGTGCCAAATTATAATAGTTTATGTATATAAATTTAAAGTATTAAATTTGTGCGGGTTGGTATGTTGTAAACCTGTAGCTCAATTTCCATAATTTGCTTGCTAGTCAGTAGTAGAAGTTTCTCAACGCTTTGTCCAAAAACCGAGGCATCAATGGTTGCAGTAGAATCGGTGATAGAAACATTCACTTTGGATCTAATATTATCATAAAAAATATTCAAGAATTATCATCGTAGTTCAGTTTAATTTTTTATCTAAAAAAAAGGTTGACTATATATTTTATGGGTATCTTTGATAGCTGACCTTGGAGTACCAACCACATCTTCCTTGCCACAATGCATGCAAGGAAACCGGGTATCATAATCTGCATAAACTGTTTTCAAACAATTGCCGCAAGCCATATACCAAAGACTGTCACCTTCAAGCAGTAACTTAATTTTGCCGTGAACCCAAATGGGTTTTGCCTGCAACATGTCGAGCGACTGGTGTTATGATGAAATTATATATTGCTATTATTAATTATTTGCTCTAAGCTCTGTAAAGTGTACCGGATCAATGGATGGAGGCACGTCAGATACTTTGGAAATTTCTTCCACATCTGGACTTGCAAGGTTTATTGCCGCGTTATTGTATTCACGGCAGATTTTGAGCGCATCAAGAGTAGGACGGTTGTCAATCGCCCTGCATAAAGCAAGGTGGAACAAATGTTATTGCGTGAAATATAGAATGAATTGGTACAAGATTATGTATATTTATATGAGGTGTAGTAACGTACCACTTATGCAATTCTTCAGCTCTTGAAGACGTTGGATTGATGATGAGGGTAGAATGGGGTTTTGTGGATAATGAAATACCTTCAAAACCCCATACATATGATGTGTACATACATTACAATGTGATAATAAGAAATTAGAAGGAAAAGATTTACAACATTATAATGTTGCATCGGTTAGTCATGATGTATGGGGTTTCTTATTATTTAAAAAAATGACAAAATCAATTAAACAACATTCTTAAACACAGTTACTACATGACAAATACGGAGTATATCATTCCATGATTGATATCAAAACAATCAATAGGAGATTAAATCAAAGAAGAAATAAGAACAAAGCAAAGTGACGGTGCACAGTGGGTAGGGCAAAAATTATCTTACCCGCAGATGAAACACGATGAGACGAAATTGCCAATAATCCTTCCAGCCTACACAAAGGTTTCAAAACAAAAGCAAACAGAAGGTCAAATTAGTGTCTGAAAGGTGGAAATCTGAAATGATAATAACACAGTAATTAATGAAATCACATGTGTCAGTTAAGCCAAACAATTGTCAGTTGATCAGTTGACAATAAATATTCCCCCTGGATACATTTTCTCCCTAGAAATGGGGAAGCCCACTCCTCTGAACTACATAAACTGGGTTTAAAAATTCCTGCGTACTTTCCTGCCCAGAATGCAAGACCTCTAGGTTTAGAATCTACAACAATATGGATAACCCTTGGGTGAATAATGTAAACAATGTAATAGATAAACAATAAAGCATACTTCTAAATAATGATGAATAACATCAAACCAAAAATTGCTTATAGTCCGGTCAGAACACATCATATGATTAACATTCAGTAATAATATAATACTATTAGAATAAACACTATAGAAGACAGATTGAGTACACAAACCATACTTATATAGAGAGGACACGAATCATACTTACAGAAGATACTAATAATCACATAAAATTCATAGTTGTGTAGAAAGAAAAAGAAAAGAAAAGACAAAGTCATGTTTTTGTAATGTGTCCCATTTTTTTGTCCAATGTGTTATCAGGTATACTAATCCCATGATAGATTGTAGCGTAATTTTGTATTAGGGAACTTAAATTTGAACCAAATGGGGATAATAATTGATCGCCTGTTATGTTCTCAAGCCTTCATAATATGCTTCCCAAAAAGAGTAGCATGCATCACTGCATTAGATACATATTGCTTGTACGTTTCATCTTAATGGCATTCTGAGACTTAAATTTTTATCACAATATTTCAAATTGTAAGCAGGCATAGCCCAAATCTCTACCGTTTGATATGTCTTTGGCTTAGAAACTCAAGATTGCCACACTTGTGTTCATGAATTATTCACTCTAACCATGCGAGAACATGTACATTAATACGCTGCATATGGCTGAAATGCAGGTGGCTTAAAGTGCAGTTTTACGTATGTTTGGAAACTGTTTTTAAAGTGTTGGTTTTAGGAACATCCAGTTTTTAAAAGCAGTTTTCAGATTCTGTTTTTGAAGTGTAGTTTTTACAGAGTTCCAGTTTTTTAAAACTGTTTTCAAATACTGTTTTTAAGTGCTGTCTTTACAGAGTTCCAGTTTATACAAACTGTTTTCAAATTACTCCGTAGTATGTTTTTAAACTGCAGTTTTTAGGAACATCCAGTTTATAAAAGCAGTTTTTAAATTCTGTTTTAAAGTGCAGTTTTTTAGGAGTTTCAGTTTTTAAAAACTGTTTTCCAAGTGCAGTTTATAAAAACTGGAAGATTCTGGATGTGCAGGCTAAAGTGTAGTTCTTAAAGTGCAGTTTTATGTATGCTTGGATACATATTTATTTATGCCGTATTTACATTACTCCTAAATGAAATCTGATATGATGTGAGTGAGTAACCCACGCTGCACCCAAGTGGACCTTACAGGATGACACAATTCGAAACATTAAAAAAAAAAGCAAAGATAAGCTACACTAAATACAAAAAATGCAAAAGCAACAAATTACTCAATTTCATGGGGACATTTAAACGAACACATAGAGGAAATATACAGGAAATATACATAAAGGGGAAATTATAATAATTGGAAGATGGAATCATCAACCTAAGCCACCCAAACCACTACCATAAACAATTCTGGGAGCACGAGCAGTACGACAACAGAGGAGTTTGGGAGGCGATTAAATTGGAAATAGGGAAACAAAAAAAAAACTTCACGGACAGGGCAGTAAGAAGACGAAGGCACATGTATTGAACAGAGATGCGAAGAGTAATGTAAATTGCTTGAAAATAGGATGGGAAAAACTTACAAGAGTAGAATGGGTAGGAATCGGAAAATCTGGTGAACAGCTGGGACAGACTACTTATAATCAACCATCCGACCTTCGAGTAAGCGAACGGATGTCCAGAAGCCATTACTGTGGAGGTTGGAATGCTGAGCGGCTGAAACCGAAGAGAGGAGATGAGGGGTTTACTATCGAGCAAAACAAGTACTTCGTACTACGTATATACAGAGCAAATAAAAGAAACAGGTCTCATATAATAATATAATATAATAATAATTTAATAATAATATAAAGGCAATAAAAGGCAGGTCTATTTCCCATCCGTTAAGCATAGGCGACCGTTGAACCCTTCCGTTAGTAATGGAAGGTGTGATAGAGTAACAAAGTACACCAAAAAAAATACAAAGTACAATCAAATTATACATGAAGAGACACCAACATTTTTTTAAAGACCGTTAAACCCCTGACAAAATTCCCTCTTATAGTATTGTAGATATGTTGTTACGTTTATACACACAAATGCATGTTATTATTATGTTCGGATTACAATATTAATTTCACATTACAATATTAATTTGCATGCTCAATATTAATCTCTCCCTTTTATTAGTTTTGTTTTAATTTCGAATTACAATATTAATTTGCATGCTCAAAGATGATAAAATTTATTTTTTCTTTTTTGTTTGATTTATAATACACATGCTTTAGATATAGTTTGATTCAATTTGATTTTTTTGTACAAGTTTAATATGCATGCCTAAATATTATTTAATTTTAGGTTAAACAGCATGCATGTTTTTTCAATCAAATGCATGATTTAATTTCGGACTTATGCATGAATTATTTAGACATTGTTAGGATTATTATTATTTTATCATCAATCAAATTTATTATTTCTGAATTATTTAAAAAAATACCCCCTCATGTCAAACTTCCAAAAAAATTTGACATGTTAACTATAAAATAATTATTTAGACATTAAAAACTGTTTTCCGAAATAAAATGTAAAATATAGATTATAAAAAACAGTTTAATAATATATTGTTTTTTTATTAAACAGTTTAATAAAAAACTGTTAGATAAATAAACAGTTTAATAAAAAAACAGTTTGATAAAAATCAATTAAATAAAAAACAGTTTGATAAAAACCAATTTAATAAAAAACAGTTTAATAAAAACAGATTTTAATAAAAAGTGATTAATAAACAGTTTAATTAACCGGTTTTATGAAGTTTACTAAAAATGAGGTGTACTAATAAATATTTTTTTTATTAAAATTGACATAAAAAAATATAACACTGGTATTTTAAATAGGGAAAATGGAAATTAATAATCCAACCTTTTAGCGGTCTTCTTTCAATAATCCCACCTTTTGATTATTCATGAATAATCCGACCTTTGCACCTCATCTTCATTCATTGGTCCCTGGTCGGTTAATGACCTACTATTCCAAGTTATTTTCTTATCTTTCCAAAATATTATCTTTGTGAAAGATGAGATTTATGGTATAATGATTTGCAAAGATAAGAAAATAGCTTGGAATAGCAGGTCATCAACCGGTCAGAGACCAGTGAATGAAGATGAGGTGCAAAGGTTGGATTATTCATGAATAATCAAAAGGTGGGATTATTGAAAGAAGACCGCTAAAAGGTTGGATTATTAGTTTCCATTTTCCCTTTTAAATATTATATTGTTTTTATAAAACAGTTTTTATAATTTATAAAACTTTTTATAAATAAAACCGTTTTTATATAAAACTGTTTTGTATAAAAACAGTTTATACAAATCTGTTTTTATATAAAACTGTTTTATAAAACAATTTTTTGTAAAACTGTTTATAAAAAATTGTTTTTATAAATATAAAAAGTTAAAAAATAGTACGACATATGCAATAAAATGAATTTATTGACATCCTTAAAAAAAGTAAAAAAAAAACACATATATTTAAATTTTCAAAATAAATTATGTTCCCTCATGTAAACTTGCCTAAAAGTTTAACATGTTACATTTAATAACAATTTATAAAATTACCACCCCTCATATTAAACTTACACACAGTTTAATATGTTTTACACATTTTCAATTGATAAATGTATAAAAATTTGATCTTCTATTATGATTAGACTCACATTTAAAAATATAAATTAATATATTTTAGATGAGCAATGAACAATCAACCTCGCGTACCCGCCCAAACTATGTGCCCTTAACCGAAGCTGAGCGCAACAATGAAAATGCGCTTTGGATGACGCCCCACATGGTTGCGAAGTAAGTAACTATGAATTTTATCTAACGTGAAATAATTTTTTCAATGTATCATAATGTAATCAAAACTTTTATAAATAAATAATATTAATTTTTTGAAGCGATCAAGAAGTGTTGGACCGAATCAAACTCATAATCGGAGGACACTTTCTTGGGAACTGGGCAACATACACGGAAGTTGACCCCAAGGTTCGTGAACTTTGGTGGAACCTGTTCAAGGTAAAAAAAATGAATTTTCTCTACGTAATTGTATTAACGTAACATTTGATAAAAGATAAATTAATTTATTTGTTTTTTATAAAGGGTCGGTTTCGATGGACTGAAGCCCAAGGTCCCGCTATTCTTAGAGCGTATAACGCTAGGATTTCAAACTGGCTTCGTCCTACTTTTAGGCGTGCCCGAACTAGCGGGGTAAAGCCTGGATGGTGTTCGGATGAGGTGTGGGCTAACCTCGTCCGTCACTGGTCTTCTGATCCAAACTTCTTGGCAAGAAGTCAATCCGGTAAGAAAAACCAGATGTCCGACAAGGCCTTAGAAACCCAATGGCATGGGGGCCGCAAACCTCAAAGTAGACATAAAGAAGATCTTGTAAGTATTTTTCAAAAAACCTTACACAATTACAACCCTTCATTTTAACATTTAATTATGGATCTTAAGCCTTTTTTCCAAACTGTAGTCAGGGCCTGAGAAGAAGAAGGTCTCAATTCTCAAGGTCATCAAGCACTGCTGGACAAAGCACGGCGATGAGTCCGATGCCGATCTGCCACCCCGCCTCGCTGAAATCGAAGTAAGTAACATTATTTTCTTACTTATTTCCATTCAAAATCAAATTGAGTAACATTAAATTAACAATTTTTGTACATGTAGTCGAAGTATAACACAAATGTTGAGAAGAGGCGGGCAGAATTAGGCTTGACTCAGGAGTCAGGAGGATGAGATTGATTCTGATGTGGAGGATGATACCATCTTTGAGGCAGTTGGGGTGTACAAGGGCCGGGTCCCGTGCATGGGGGCTGAGGGGCAACGGATCTTGTACGACCGCAACGGCACTTCATCTTCCCGATCAAGGCGCGGAGAGGATCCGCGTATCGCTCAAATGCAGCGGGAGATGGAGGAGCAGCAGCGGGCCTTGGATGAGCAGCAGCGTTGCTTGGAGGAGCAACGCAAAAAAGAAGAAGAAACAAGGGCCCGGCTAGAAGCGATGGAACGGATCCTCAGCGCCGGAATTCGGAATCAGCCTCAGCCTCAACCGTATGTACTGCACCCCGAGCAGACTCCTCAAGTTCCGCACATGGGCGGTTATTTCCGTTCCAACTCTGCTACCGGGTTGCCTTCATTTGGTTCTATTCAGGATATCAATTTTCACAACCTGTTTCAAACATCTGGAGGCAGCCAAGCAGGTGGCAGTCGCGGAGGTGGCAGTCGCGGAGGAGGCAGTCGCGGTGGCAATCGAGAAGGCCAAGCTGGAGACAACCGAGAAGATGAGACCGAAGAAGATTATCTATATGATGATTCTAGATGTTATCATAATGGTAGCTGGAGGAGCTTGTAAATGATATACATTTTTAATTGAACACTGTTTATTTACTATAATTCTATTGTGCTTATTATTACTTTTATTTCAGTCTGTTTGGTTATGAAATGTGTGTCTAGTAGTCTGTTTATTACTTTTATTCTACAAATATTTTTTTATTACTTTTATTTTACAAATTTTTTTAAAATAAACTTTTCTAAAGAAAATTTATAAAAAAAATTATTTTTTTTATAAAACAAAAAAACTTTTTTTAAAAAAATAAAAAACTTTAGTCACGGATCCGAGCCGTGACTAAATTCTAGACCGATTTTTTAAAAAGCATTTTTACAAAAGTTATTTTTAAAATTTTTTTTAAAAAAATAAAAAAGTAGTCACGGATCAAGTCCGTGACTAAATTTTAAATTTTGAAATTTTAAACCGTAACATTTTGGCGGTTCATTTCTAAATTTGAAATTTTAGTCACGGATTGGTCCGTGACTAAATATAGTCACGGAAAAGGCCGTGACTAAGTCGCCGGTGTGGTTATTCCGGTGACAAGTTAGTCACGGATACGGTCCGTGACTAAGCCGTGACTACGCTTAGTCACAGATAAAATGTCTGTGACTAGAATTAGTCACGCCCAAACAGTCACGGATTTAGTCACGGACTTTGTCCGTGATTAGCAAAGTTAGTCACGGATTTTTTATACTACGGTCCGTGACTAAATCCGTGACTAAATCCGTGACTAATTCCGTGTTTTTTTGTAGTGTCACCTTCTAATTTCTATTTGTTGCTTACTGACGTTGGTGAACCGGAGTCCTATGCAGAGGCAGTTCGGGTTGATGACAAGGGCAAGTGGAAACTTGCAATGGATGATGAGATGGCATCTCTCACATCCAATGATACTTGGAGGTTAGTTGAACTACCGAGAGGAAAGAAGGCTTTGCATTGCAAGTGGGTCTACCGCATCAAGAAGGAGGCAGATGGTAGCAAACGCTACAATGCTAGGCTGGTTGTGAAGGGGTTTGAACAGCGCTATGGTATTGATTATACCGACATATTTTCTCCGGTTGTGAAACTAACTACTATTCGGTTGGTGTTGGGGTTAGTTGCTGCAGAGAATTTGTTGTTACATCAGATGGATGTGATGACTGCATTCCTTCATGGTGATCTGAATGATGAGATTTACATGGTGCAACCGGAGGGCTATGTGGCGGAAGGCAGTGAGAATCTCGTATGTAAGCTAGTGAAGAGCTTATACGGGTTGAAGCAAGCACCGAAGCAGTGGTACAAGAAATTTGATGGTTTCATGCGTGAAATCAGTTTCTTGAGATGTCACACCGACAATTGCTGCCACTACAAGAAGACTGAGAACTGTTATCTTATCTTGCAATTATATGTAGATGACATGTTGATTGCAGGAGCTAGTTCAAAGGAGATTGAGAAGCTAAAGAAACAGTTGTCAGAACGTTTTTCCATGAAGGATCTTGGAGAGGCAGAGCAGATTTTGGGCATGCGAATCGAGAGGGATGAGGCAGCGGGCAGATTGTTTCTTTCACAGGCAGAATACATTCAGAAGGTCTTGGAAAGATTCAGAATGCAAGATGTTAAGGCTGCAAGTGTTGCATTGGGTAGTCTCTTCAAGCTTAGCAAGGAAGATTCTCCAAAGAACAAGGAGGACCGTGCTCAAATGCAGAAGATTCCATACGCATCGGCAATTGGCAGCATCATGTACGCTATGGTTTGCACGAGGCCAGACATTGCACATGCGGTGGGAGTAGTGAGCAGATACATGGGAGACCCCGGGAAAGAGCATTGGGAAGCTGTGAAGTGGATCATGAGATATTTGAAAGGTACTGCTTCTAATGTTTTGTGTTTTGATGGAAAGAATGTAGAGCTGCTGGGACATGTTGATGCAGATCTGGCATCAAATGACTCGGATGGATCAAGAAGCACCACAGGGTATGTTTTTACATTTGGTGGGACAGCAGTATCTTGGCTTTCGCAGCTGCAGAAGATTGTTGCATTATCTACTACAGAGGCAGAATATGTGGCCATTACGGAGGCAAGTAAGGAGATGGTGTGGCTTCAGAATTTACTTGGGGAACTTGGGAAGGAGTACAAGAATAACATTCTTTACAGTGACAGTCAAAGTGCTATCTTCTTGGCAAACAACTCAGCTTTTCACAAGAGAACCAAACACATTCGGTTGAAGTATCACTACATCCGTCATCTTCTAGAGATAGAGGCATTGTAGCTTGTGAAGATCCGTGGGAGTGAGAATCCTGCAGACATGTTTACTAACGCGGTAACCTTGGAGAAATTGAAGTTGTGCATAGCTTCAATTGGCCTGGGTACTTGAAGATGAAGGTCGGCGCTACCATGCTTACAAGGGAGGTTTGAAGAAGACAGTCTCTAGGTGGGAGATTATAAGGTGTTAGAGACAGTTTCTTAATTTATTTTTGGAAACACGTTTCTTAATTTAATTTAGGAAACACATCCAAGTTGCCTTAGGGTTAGGATTTACTTCTCTATAAATACAAGCTCTCTCCCTTGTAATCTGTGTGTGTGAATCCAAAAAATATTAATAACATTCTTGACTTGGTAGCGCCCCTAGACGTAGTCCTCTGTGGCGAACTGGGTTAGCAAATTTCGTGTGTTCGTTATTGATTTTGGTGTGCGTGAGTTAAATTCCTAACAAGGGCCTCCTCTATGACACGTGGTAATACGTTTAAAAGATATTACTCCGTATATGCTAATAATATATGCATGCTAATTAAACTCAATTTATGTTATTAATAATTGAGCAAGTAAATTCCTTCCGTAACCGAAATTTATTAATAAATGCCAATAAATGTCATTTTTTATTTAATATTCCGTATAAGAATCAATTTCCTTTTTATTCCTTGAGCTTTTGAGCCGATCATCATCTTTACTATAGTGTATCATATTTAACTTAAAATTTATATGATTTAATTGTATAAATACAATTTAAACCTTGAACAAAACAATATCCAGAAATAAAATAAATAAAAGGGATTTCAGGATTATTTCTTATTTCAACATATCGATTCTGAATTGGAAGACCATAAGGGTTTTGTACTGTGTTTGCACATATATGTATATCTCAAGTACATGTCCGAATTGAAATTTGAGAACTCATTTTTGTAAAGAGGCAGTGATTTAAGGGGGTGTATTGTATTAGGATTTAGTGGCAAAATTTTAAAAGTCCATCGATTTTAAAAGTTTAGGTGTATTCAATGTGGACTTTTAAAAGTCCACAAAAGTCTAGGTGTATCCAATGCAGACTTTTAGAAGTCTATAAAAGTCTAGGCGTATTCAAATTTCCGTTCATTCTTATTGACTTCTAAAATCATGGATTCTCGTGCACTTTTAACTCATTTTTAGTGCAAAAATTCTCTGCAATTGTCTCTTCTCCTCACCAAAGATTTCCGTGGACTTTTCTTATATCGGTTCTTCATCCCGTCCCACCCCATTCCTCCCCTCCCTCCTAGTGATGGACCGGGCCAGACCCGGTTTCTGTTCCGAGTCGGGCCCGGCCGGGCTTGGAATTTTTTGGGTAAGGCCCGGGACCAGCCCTGGTGTCTACTGGTATCGGGCCGGGCTAGTTCCGGGTTGGGCCGGGCCAGTTCCGGGTTGGGCCGAGCTGGTTCATTTTTTTCGGTTTTCTTATATATTCCAACCCTCACCCCCCAAACCCCTCCAAAACACCCAGCCTACCTACCATAGGCCCAACCCCCCCCCCAAAAAAAAAAAAAAAAAAAAAAAAGAAAACAAATAAGGCCCGGACCGGGCCCAAACCGGTGGAATATATTTAGTCACAATCTGAAACGGGTCATATGGAATAAAATGGTGGTCTATATTTCTAAATTAACAAAAATGAGTTACTTTAAATATTTACGTCAACTTTCTAAATTTATACGAGTATCAATAATTCACAGTTTCACACACAAAATGCTTTTAAATGTATTTGTAAACATGTTTTGGGGTTATGGAGAGCAGATCATGAAAACGATTCCAATATTGCTATGAAAAAGGAAATACTATTGTATGCAGTATTAACGAAAGTTGAAAAGAAACAAAAAGATGCAAAGTCGTACCTGGTGGGAGTTACGTACTTACGTTCTAGTTGGTGGCATAGAGAATGAACTAGATTGCTCTCAAATGCAAAACTTAAAGACAGGTTAGCAGATGTTGTACCACGAGGGAGAGAAAGTATATTGTTGGGTTAATGGCCCCGCAAAGGGGCCGGCACATTTACCCCACATCCGGACGAACGTCTTCCCTGGAGGGGCGGCCCACCCGGACGAACGTCCATACAAGGATAAGTGGATCCAGTCCACAGACACTCAAGTGGCGACAAATGTCGGTCCCGGAAGCCGATAGCATTGGAGCCTGTCCAATCCATGCAGGGGCGGAGCTAGGGGGTGCCCAGGCTAGGCCCTGTCCCACTCCAAATTTAAAAAATGTCAATACTTATAGTGTAAAAAATTTCGTGTAAATTTTTTTCCAATAATATTCTTTGTACCGGCCCAGTCTAGCCCAGTGTCCTAGCTACGCCCCTGAATCCATGTGACAAATCCTACAAGGGCCAGGATACGAGCGGCCCATTACCCTTTGCAATATCACCAGGAGCAAGCCCCCTAATTAACCAGACTAGACGTACGTCTCCACAACTCAGGCGGGAAAATCAGATTCT